TGTTTCCTGCGCCCCTCGCTCGGCCAGGGCTGCTGCCTGCTGCAGAGCTGCGCTATACAGCTCTGCTCCATCTGACACCAGGCCCACCAGACCCTCCACATCCTGTTGTGTGCACGTGGTTGTATGTGTGTTGCATGTGTGTATGCGTGTGCGTGTGACACTCATCATCCGGCCAACGCTGGTGCCTTGATATACATGGGCAGTCCAGGTACTGCGAGGTTGAGCGATGGATGCTCATCCAAGCTGCTTCCCGACAAGACGGATTGTCAGCCGCCGGTCCCCAAGCGCACTGCACCGCGGCCGCGCTGCACTCGCCTCTGCCGCGACCGCGCCCGCCGCGTGGACGTGGCGCTCGAGCGCCCGCACCGCCTCTGCGCAGTCCTTCAACAGCACCACTGCGGCCGTTCGAGAGGGCGGACAATGTGCAGCTGAAACTCACTGCACGCATTTGTGGAACGGGCAGCCTGTCTGCATGCAATTGAGGGCCGGTAACGGTCGCCGCGCTGCGGGGCACCACACCGTAGCAACGCGCGTCCGCCAGCGTCGAGAGCGCCGCGAGCTGCGCCTCGGGTGCCCCGAGATCGTGATTTCGCTGACCATAAATGTGGGGGGCCTGCGAAGGCACACATAGTCGGCGGAACTGAACTGGGGTGGTTGGGCTCGGGTGTCCTTCACCAGCACACCCCAGACCAACTCCGACTCGCCTGAACGGCATGCTGCACCGCAGAACTGATGCCCGCGAGAAGATTGGCCTGCTCTCCACGGTACTGTTGGAGCTGCTGCTCCAGCTGGTGCAGCCGCTGTCGCATACTGCTCGTGCTGCTGCTGACTCCTCGGATAGTACCGTTTAAGCTACGTTAAGTTTGTTCATTGTCGATTCAATTGAGTTGCTTTGATCGATCGTCTAGCCAAGCCTAATTATTCAGATCAGTGCAAGCTTACCGTAGTGGTGTGCAGCCTGCCATGAGCTTCCCACCTTTTGGAGGGGGCCCACCTCATGGCTTTAGACCCAACATGATGCCCTCCTTTCCCGGGGCACCCTTCATGCCGGGTGCGCAGGCCTTGCTGCACGATCCAGAGGTCCTCTCACAGAAGCAGCAGCCACCAAAACGCAGCTGATGCTGGCAAGCTCGCAAAGTGCAGACCGTGAAAGCAGCAACGCGCAGCGCTGCCCACGCCCCATGCGGTGTGCGCCGCCCCGTCGCTGTGCCGGTGCTCTGTAGCACTGAGCCCCTTGCCGCCGGCTCGCCACTGCAGGTGGCATGCCGCCAATGATGGGCCACCCCGGGATGATGGGGCCGCGGCCAGGCATGATGGGCCCAGGTGAGCACATCCCAGTGCACTGCCTGGCAGCCAGGACCCCCTTGTAGGGCAAGAGGCAGCTGCCGGTGGCATGCCCGAAAGCGCTGTGGTTGCGCTACGCGCTCGCCTGCGTCCGCAGCAGCCCTTCCCGCGCCGACCCCTCGCCCGCCCCACCCTCCCCGCCGTGCCTGGGCCAGGCATGGGCCCGCCGCCCGGGCCCCCGGGCCCCACCATGCAAATGGGCATGCGCCCCCCCGGCCCCGCCGGCCCGCCCCTCGGCCCCACCGGCCTGCTCCCGGCCCTGCGGCGGCCGGTCGGCGCGGCAGTCGCCAAGGCTACGACCGTGTATGTGGGCAAGATCGCCACCACAGTTCCCGACGAGATCATCAGGCGGCTGCTGGAGGCGTGCGGCAGGGTGCGCTGCGCGCTACCGCTTGCTCGTGCACGCCCGGGTTTGAGGCCGAGAGGATCCTGTGGAGGGGTTGTGGGAGCTGCGGCGCTGGATACGTCACTGCGTAAACAGCCCATGACGCGGAATCAGCAGCAGAGCAGCAGCAGCGGCAGCAGCATGCAACACCCCCAGCCTGCCGCCCGCCGCCCTCCCCGACCGCCCCTCTCCCCCCCC